GGCGAGGCGGGCGTTGAGGGTTTGGCCTGTTGAGGAGAGGTTGGCTATGTAGGTGTCTAGGGTGGTGATGGTTTCGTCGGGGGAGTGGGTCTGCATGGTGGAAGCCCAGAAGTCGAAGATTCCGGGGACGAGGGTGGGTTGGAGGTCGGATGAGGGGGGACTGGCGCTGGTGAAGGTTCGGACGGGAGGGCCGGAGCTGGTGGGATTGTTTGGGGGGGAGCGAGATGGATGCATTGGTGGTTTTTTGGTTGAACGTGTGCCAGACGGAGCCGGCGAGACCTCCGGCACACCGCATGGCAAACCAGATGAGCGAGGATGGCGTGGGCCCGATGGTCCAGCCTAGGAAGACTACCATGGATAGCAACAGGGTAGCGGCAATGGCGTGCTGTGCCATCCCTTTGAGGACGGAGAGGAGTACCATCTGGATGCATCGGAACCAGAAGCTAGGTGAGAGCTTTTCTCTCTCGCTGGTCGAGGTCGTGCCGGTGCCGGTGCTGCTGCTGGAAGTGGCGGATGTTTGTTTGTTGCTGCTGTCGCGGTTGTTCTGCCAGATGGACGACACCCAGTTGAAGAGGGACGAGGCCGAGACCAAGATGTACTGGTTCTGGTTGTGAGTGTAGTGCTGGGCGTGGATCACGTCCCGAGCCGCATGTTGACGGGATGGGAGCCGAGATGGGAGCAGAGACAAGACCCGGAGCGGGGATGGGAGGGCCGACCGGGAAGCATACGCCATCCATGCGGTGCGAGAGTTGGGCTCCGTGGTAAAGGAGCTCTTCGACAGGCGAGTCGGGTTCTGATTTGACCGAGGGGGCAATACCGACCATGCTGTTGGCCCGTCGTCTTGCGAGTGGCCCTGCCGACTTCTTCTCGTGCTGTTGAACGAAGGCGATGACACTATTGGAGCGCGGGCGAATTGGGCGTGGTGCTGGCGGGAGTGTTGGGGTCTGAACCGGGACTAGGACTGGGACCCACAGCGGTGCAGGAGCAAAAGCGACACCTTTACGACGGGAGGGGCTTGGGCTGTTCCGGATCGTGGTGATGGGGATGGACTACCGACCGGGACTGGGACTATCACCTGGATTCCTCATTTCTGGAGTCCCACCAGTGCCGTAGCCATGGACCTCTGCTGCCCGGGCCTGACCCTTGTCGAGTGCGAGCTTGGTCATGATCTTTGTGAAGTTTCGGTGCAGTTCCTCTTCGGAGAGGTCCTTGCCCTTCATGACCTCACAGTATTTGCGGAATTTTCGGTCGGTAGACGGCATGGTGATGGTGGGTTGCAATGTGAAGGACTACAATGGGTGATGGTCCTGGGATCGATGAATCTTGGCCAAGTGGGTTCGATCTTGGCTCCAACCAAGCCTCGAAAACATGGCCGAACTTTACAGTACACCATCATCCCTTGTTGAGCTGCCCGCCGACCCACCCCTCACCACCGTCCAGCAGACCATTGCAGCCTCTGACCTACAGAAGCTCAACCTCGTCGAGTTCACCGCTGCCATGTCGGGCCTCAGTCTCGAAAGCGAACTCGGCAGCCCCCGCAGGGTGCGAGCAAGCGCCTACCCATGCCCATGGGTTATGATATGGGTCTGGGTAACCGTATACCAAGACGCGAGTTCCATCCCGATCATCTCGGCGCTGTTCCACTGAGACCCAAGGTTGGACGGAGTGTGTCCGGGATTCCACGCCGGGACCGGCCGGAAATGAACAATCAGTTCATTCCGGACGAGCCAGCCAAGGCGGTCTCACATTTCGGCCAAGCGTCATCACCCTTCCTGCCCCAAACCAGGACTATGAACCACCACGTGGACCGCCCTGTCGGCTCTCGCCAACAAGCCTCCGATGACGAGAACCACCGGCACCAGGAACACAGCGACCGAGCTGGGGCCAACGAGTCGAGCAAGGAGCAGCACCCCTCCCATCAGTCCATCATGTCCGAGCGAAGTCCTCATCAACAGCCCAGGACTTCCAACTCCGGCCATCATCCGAGTGATATTCCACTGCGGGCACAACCATCTCCACGGATCCAACTGGGGGGGGGGGGGGGGGGGGGGGGGGGGGGGGGGGGGGGGGGGGGGGGGGGGGGGGGGCGGGGGGGGGGGGGGGGGGGGGCG